CTGCGGTGCCGGAGGCGCCCTGCGGCGCTGGCCAAGGGGCTCCTCACCCTGTCCTGGCTCTGCTCCCACGGGCACCACCAGGAGCACGGTGTGTGGGGCGCTCTGGGGGCTGTTCTTAACTCTCAGAAGCAAAAGAAGTTAAGAAATAAAGAAGCATTTAGAATTTAGAAAGTTTTCTAATTAAAGAGTCGCTTGTAATTATTGGTCAAATTACGTTCAGGGCTACAGCTACGTAGCCACAACGTTATTCAAATCCAGTTTTATGAACTCCACACACAAGTGCAGGTGAAAATCTGTTTTATCCCCTAATTCTCTTTAATCTTCCATCAGACAAACCTGATAATACTTCAGGCAGGGAGCCTGAAATGAAACCTCCTAAATTATTCTGCAAGAAGAAAAACTCTAAATCAATCCAGGTCAGAGCTGGCAGGAGGAAGGACCCCTACCCTGGCGCCCTGCCCGACCAGCAGCAAGGACAGAAGGGAACTTCATCGAGCAGGAACTACTGCTTTCTGACAGATAAACTGCCGCCTTCTGCTTCAGCTGCGCAGCCTGGGGTAAGGCAGGAGGCCAGAGGGGCGGCTCTGCGGGTCCGGCAGTGCTACAGAGCAACTAGGTGAGTTGTTGCACCTCTAACGACTGCCCAGCTCCGCTACGGGGAATCCTGCACAGAGCAGGGGGAGAAAGCGCAGGGTAAAACCACCCACAAAGCCAAAAAGAGGGGCAGCTGCCAGGGGCGCTGGTTACGCGGCGCTCGTTGGGCTTTAACGCGTCAGGAGCCAAGCTCGGGGTGCGAGGGACGGCTGGACGTACCATCTGCAGAAGCGGGAGTCAGAGGGATGAACTCCGCCGATGTCTGGCTGGTCAGGGACACCCTGGCTCCCGTCAGGTCGATTTTGGTGCTCCGGCAGGTGTTGGAACAGACCTTCGTGTGCTGGTAGAAATCCAGCTCTCCCGAGTCCATGATCTTCCTGAATGGCAGGGAGCAAGCACAGGGACAGGCATGTCAGCAGGAGCAGAGAGCTCCTAGCAGCCTTCACCCCCAAACTTCCCCAAGTCCCAGATGAAAAGCAAAAGCCAGAGGCAACAGCCTGAACTTCCCTTGACCAGTTCCCCTGTGCCCTGACCCGAGAGGCAGCGTTAACTAAGAGCTGATGAAAGCAGCACCCACGACCTGCTCCGCAGCGGCCACACGCACAGATCCAACAACAACGCACAACTCCAGCGGTGGTAAAGCCTTTTGGGGAGGCTGGGATGGGGAGAAAAAAGCCCATCGTGCGGCAGCTGCAGGAAAGGACTGGGGCAGATTTGGTTTCTGACCGCTTCCCCGCCACATCCCGCAGGGTGGAAGAGGGGGGG